TGGCAGGATTTTCATTTCTCTCCCAAAATTATACTCAACTCTAAGAATCACAGCCAGATCTGAGGGCAGGTTACATGAACCAGTTCCTTCCTCCACCTTGTGTTTGCATCGGACATAAGAGATCTGGTGACCATCTTGAGGGAAGGGCTCTCACAAAGCAGGACACAAATAAAAGCTCCTCGGAGCTCCCAAATTGGGAATGTCAGTCATCAGTCTGCATTCAGTACAGGAAAACTTCATACCAAGTCTCAAGAGAGAAAGGTCATTGGCATCTCTCAGTTGTCATGCCACAATACATCCTTCCAGTCCCTAAAATTCCATTCCAATTCCAATCCATGCACTTTCTGTCCGATCCAAGCATGTACCTCCAGATTCAAAATTAGCAGAGCTGATTTGGGAATCCAAAAGGCTTCACAGAAGAAAAAAAGTTATATAGTTAATGGGAAAATCTTTATACTTCTTTGACTCAAGTCAAAGGGAAGATGGGACTAAAAGGTCAAGTGGTTTAAAGTTTGAAAACTTCTTTCCAAAGAGAGATTAGTCTTAATAATTTACTGAATCATAAAGATGTGCAAAGCCAGGGTGGAGACTGCTCAATGCTAGGTAGATAGGGCCTTTCTCCAGTCTAGCCTTGGCTCTGATAAGGGCAGTCTAGGTCCTGCCCTTTGGAGTCAGTCTCCAACTCCCTTCCTGTTACCTGTCCTTCCCTCTTTGAACCAACCACTTCAGTGGACCTTTGGCTGCCTAATCTCCTCTGTAGGAAGTTCCCTTCTAGTTAAGCCACTCAGCTCTTTGTGGGAAATATAAAAATGGACCTCACAGTGAGAGGACATGGAGGACACTTCTAAGAGGCAGAGAGCCTCTTGCTTTTTTGAGAAACCATGGTGGACTCCCCTCACTTGAGTGTCACAGGCTAGCAGTATTATAGGCCAGGATCCTTGTCATTCTCTACCTCAGCTCTAACTCACAACCAATATGGTAACCATCTACAGCATATCCACACCATCTGGAACATCACTTCTAAAGATCCTTGAGTGAGAGTTTCCTCAGCTCATCCTTGATGGAAAGCTAATGAAAAGGGTTAAGAGGAAAGCCCCAAGGAGGAGTTTTCGGTTTATACTGTCTGCTGATGAGTCTATGATCATCTGTTTGTATTTGAACATGCACAATCTTATCCATCGTTTTTAAAAAATTGGAACCAAAATTGAATAGAAATTGAGGACATTTTTATGTATTAGATTAAATTTTCCCATGACATTAAAGACTGTTTTGAAACACTGTGATGATTGTTGTACTGTTCCTTTGTATAAAAGTACTGCAAGCATCCCTTTGGGTCTGATTGCGAATTATACATTTATGCATTACCCATTGTGACATATGGGAAAGTGTGTGTTAAAGGACTGGGCCTAACCCAAATCAACCCCTGGACGTAATTTAATATGCTTTTTTGGAGGTAACTAAAACATCCAGGCAAGTTGGCACACACCCTTTGCCCTGACTGGCCAGTGGGAGGCCATGTGCTGGAGATGTCTGTTGGTACCTCTAGCCAGCCCCCTTGCCCTTTGCCTTCTGCACCTCTGTGTAGGAGGCAGGGTGATGAATGAGTCGTGTCAAAGGGCCCTTTTGCCCTCCAGTGGACTTGCCAGTGAGTTTAATGTATGGGGAGATGGAGTATATCAGGACAACAGTGAGGAGGTGAGTGTTCCTTCAGCTTCATCCTTGTGGGCTGGCCTCTAACAAAAGGCACGGTTCCTCCTGTTCCATCTTCTCTCAGTGTGGCCTCTCCATTTGACTCCCTATCCCTCTAACTCTCTCCATGGTCTTTTCTGGCCCAGGCAGTTTCCAGCCTCCCCCTGTATTCCTTGGTGGTTCCCAAGAATGGCTCCCTCCTTTTATAAATAGTCCCTTGATTAAACTGTCTTAAGTTTGCACTATTCTGTTTCCTTCTGCAGCTCTGACAGTACAAGAATGTGTGGATGTGAGTATTCCTCATTGCAAGCCTGTGCAGTGCACCTACAAGTGAGGTCTGCAGCATGTCTCGGATCTTTTTGTTTTTGCTAATCCTTTGCATCTCTACCATGAAAGTCAGGAACAAACTGACCAAAAAAAGTCATGCAATGAATCATGATTTATGCTTTATTGATGCAACAGTGTTGTTTACAAGCACTCAGGGAGAAAAAGAGCAACGTGAGAAGCTCCACAGGAAAAGGACCCCTCAGGCCACATTCCTCCAGGTGGGGAGGATTTCAGTGGTATGACACAGCCTTCATCTGGGTCAAGGCAATCTGACCATATCCAACTAGATCAGTTCTCACCTGCTACTCACAGCCTGTTCTAGCAACAACTATTGCCAAACTCACCACCTTATCCATTCATTTGATAAATATTCACTGATTCTAACATTGTTCTTGCTGTTGTTGCTTATGACAAGGTCTCACAATATAGTCCAGTCTGGCCTTGACACCACTTTGTAGCCCAGCTGGCCTTCACCTCATGGTGGTCTTCCTGCCTCAGCTGAGTGGATGCCAAATTATAGGCATCCACTACCACCGCTAGCTGATAAATATCTATTGGACATTTATCAATAACCACCATACAACAGATGGTGTTCTAAGAGATTATTTCATTTCCAATCATGCCTTTGTATTTTGGTCATGAGACTAAAACTGAGATGGACACACACAGACACAAGCACACACATATGTCATCATCATCATCATCATTTCTTAGCTCCATTAAAGTTGAGCATCTAAGCTTAGCCACACCCTCTAACTTTTATTCCCAGATCTCTCCTATTCATAAGTTCACCCAAGAAACCCCAATTTCCTACTCTCTGGCAGTCCCCTCTTTTGTGGCTGTCTCATTTCCTCTCCCATACTGCCTTCCCTCTGATTTCCTGGAAATGTCATACATTAATCCTCCACTGATTTTCATTCATCTTTTTCCTGGGCTCCCTTCGTTCCTTACTATTGCTCCTCATTTTTCTAACATTGTCTTCATTGTCTCCTGTATTCAAATCATTTTCTGTCCCTGCCATCAGGAATGCATCTAAAATTACATCTATTCATACTTTTTCCCCAAAATGTTACCAAAGCATAACCATCTTTAACTTTTCACCTTCTTTAAACCACCTAATCTCTTTGGACTCGACTTTAGCTTAGGTGTGTCTTCCTGCTTAGCACAAGCTTTTCTTCCCTGCCTTGGGGAGCTCCTATTTAACACAATATATTTCAGTCATCACCTCCTTGCTCTGGTAGGTGAGGCAAGTCCTTGTGGGAGGTTGATCAATGAAATCCTTTTCTTCAGATCACTGAAGTACAGTATAATACTGCTTTGTTGTCAGGGAGTCTTCCAGGAATACCAATGAGACTGCACAGTTCTGCTTCCTGTCAAGCAGGTTGACAAGACATGTTCTGAAAGTGGAGAACTACTTACTGGCCAGCGCTCTGTATTCATGTCTGGCCGCTGGTCTATAAGCTCACTGTCACCTGCCATGTGCTGGGTCAGCCCCTTCCTATCTGAAAAACTTTTGTGGATTATTTCATCATCTACTTTCTTCAGTGCAAGAGGAACTTCATCTATCATTTGATTGTAGCACCTAGAACATTTCCAGGAACTTAGAAGTCCCCAAGCACAGCTTGCTTCAGGGCAGAAGGAAAGTCTCCTATCCCTTGGCATAATTACTAAGTCAGGCAAGAAAAACCAAGGAAGTTTAGGTTCCATGGCTAAAGCTCAAATCTGACCTTGTCACTTTGCTGCCCAGATACTCTAGATGTTTCCAAGTATCTAACTGATCATGTTGTAAATCTTATAAAACCCAAGCCTCTTGGTATTCTTGATCTGGTCTGTTCTGTTCTGCTGGTCTCATCTCTCAGTTGAGCTCACATTTTCTCTCCAAAGTATTAGGAGATATTGGTTCCTCCTCCTGCCCTCCATGCTTTGCTCACACAGTCTGGTATGTACCCTTCCATGTCATTTTCGTCTCTCCTAGACCTTCTCTCCTTTGAGCATTTACTCAACTCCTATGCTACCAATGCTCCCTTCTCTACCAATCCCTTCTCACCCCAGTCCTCATCAACATACTCCAGGTCTTGGGAACATACTCCAGGTCTTGGCATAAATTTTGGGAATTTGAATAATCATGATAATTATGAGAAATAGCAATGCATCTATGAGAAGCAAAGTGACTTAGTCATTGTGGGAAGGGAGATTCCGGGGGCAAGTGGGTCAGAGAGCCTGGCAGCAGGATTCCTTTCTTCCTCGTGGTTAACATTTTTTTTTAACATTTATTGGTCATATTTTTTGCAAAATGTTTTACATATTTGATTTAGCTTAATTTTCACAATAATGCTATGGGGTAGGATGAATGGTTTCATTTTATAAATGAGAAAACCGACCTCTCCTAGATCCCTCAACAGTAAGTAGTAGAATCACTGTCTGGCCCCAAAACCAGACACTTAGCCAAGGCTATTGAGGTCTAGTAGCCTCCTGCACAATGATCTGCAGTTACAGAGCAGGGCTTTGACATGACAGCATCCAGATCTGACACCAGAGCTCACTCTTGAGGCTTCAGGAGAGACCTGGATCACAGACACATGGATCCAAGAACAAAATTATACTCTACTATGCATAGATAAAAGAAGTTTTTTGGCTTACAAATAACCTCTTCTGTATCCCATCAATCCAAGTTTGAATCCACTAAATATCTTGTTTGGAGTCTACTAAACTGAGAGACTGAACTCAACTACAAGGCCTCTACCACTAACATTTTGTGAGATCATAGCAGCTGGCCTTTCCCCAAACCACTACAGGATTCTTTAGTGTTATTACATTTACTGGTTATGAATTTGATTAATAACAGCACAGCACATCCTAATCGTAGCTTGCATGGCCATGGTGATAATTTATGGCAGGCAGCACAGCTAGAAATTTTGGGGTCAACCCACCGTGACTCTTTCTATTAAAGATACAGAGGGCAGAGACCACCAGAGAGGACTCTGTGTTGTCAACCAAGGTTGTTTATTGACTCTCACGGGAGTGAACTGAGAGAGAGAGCAGAATCAGTAAGTGAGGGTATAACAAAGTCTTTAGGTCGATAGGGAGGAGTTTGTTGTTTTCAGGAATTTGGGAGCAGAGAGCGTGTCGTCCTGCTTCTCCAAGTGAGCAGGGCAGATGCAAGTGTGGTCACATTTCTTGGTACAGCGGTGCAGCTGCTCTTCTGTGGTTTCCTCCTGTGCCTATAAGTGGTAGCCTTACTTGTCAGGTGTGATTTTCCTGTATCTTAATTGCTGTAAAGAAAAAATAGTATAGAAGTTGAGTTATGAATTTCATAGCTTCTTCATGTGGGACATGTAGAGTATGTGAACATCTTAATTGGGAAAGTGCTTTGGAAGGACAAGTTAGTAAGACAGTGACATGTGAGGTTAGGAATGACCCAGACCTGGGAAGAGACTGGAGTAGCAGTAAAGGTGGCTGAAGATGTGGAGATATAAAGCCAGCAATTTGCACCACAGAAGGATTGGGCCAGTTTAGCAGGGAGTGAGATAAATGCAAGGTCCTGTAGAGATGATCATATTAGAAGGAACAATGGTGCTGTGATCATGGAGTTCAATGAAAGGAACAGAATTGTTAGCCAGAAAAAAGAATGTAGAAAGGAGGAGGATAATTTGGCCCTTGTCTGGGGAGAAATCACACAGAGTGTCTTGATAAAGGTTATCCACGTAGATATTTACTCCAACGTGGGGGCTTGTGGGTAAAATCAAAATGATCAAAGCAAACCAAATGAAAGAAGTGTGTGGCGGGATAGACAGATACAGGACATTTAGGTGTTTGGGGTATTTGGGACAGCCTGAGGGAGTAGGGGAAATTACATGCAATTGGCTAGTTACCATCAGGATGCAGCTTTACCCAGTAGCAATGCACCCACTGGGCAGAGTCTTGTAGACAGACAGCCATTAGGGTGCTTAGATGACCAGGAAGGGTCTCGTCCACTTGGGCTGTATTGACTGGGAGTTTAAATTTTTAAGCAAAAACTGTCTGTTATCCAGGCTGCTTTCATAAGACTGGGTATCAGGAGAAGACTAGCAGCATGTCATATTTCTTTTCAGGGTTGTCACAGAACTGGCAGATAATCCCTAACAGTGCTGGCCCCTGGGCTGAGGATTGATCCAAGCAGAAGTGTGTAGTGATATAAAAGGTCAAATGGACTGTACCCTGTAGGTTCCCAGAACCCAGTCTTTTTGGAATTGGAGTGTAGGCTCAGTGAGGTAGGCCTTGAGGAGGCCACTAGCTCCCTCTACCTTTTTGGATGATTGGGCCAGTAGGGAGTTTAGAGGTTTTATATTTTTAAAGAGACAGATGGGTACAGACCAAAGTGGTGGAGTAGTAAATAGCAGAGAAAACAGCCTATCAGAGAGTCGCCATCCAGACACTGGAATATCGCATTATGAAAAAGACAAGAAGAAAGAAAAGGGATCCACTGGACCCAGGAAGAGTCTGAAGTGTGAACTGAATCCACAGAGAGAGTAAGAGAAAAATTTTAACAAAAAGTAAGTCAATAGCCAGGGGCACCTTCTCCCTGAGACTAGGCTCACTGAGTGACAGGAGCAGTTTGAACCTGTGGATGCACAGTCATGGTGATGGTGATGATTGGTGACTCCAGAGGCCTCTGCTTTGCAGAGAGATGTGATAGTGAAGGGGAACAGCAGAGATGAGGGACTGCACTCACTGGTGGTAAGTGAAGAGGACTTAGTCCTCCTGCAGGAGACAACAATTGGCCAGAAGACATCTTGTAGCTCACAACCCAGAACAGCCACTGGCACCATCTAGCAGATCCCAGCTGGCTGAGATCCATGAAAATTGGTTGAGCAGTGGCAAACCCAATGTGCCTGGTCTCATGGTAAGCCTTCTGAGATTATCCCTCTATCCCACCAAAAAGCTACTGCTAGCTCACTGGGATATATCTACATGATTTGGGACTCTATCTACACAGATTGTCTACTAGTGTAACCACAGAGAATCCTGGAAGTGAACTGTTTCTTTTTCTTTTTCTTTTATTTTTCTCTTTCTCCTTCGGAGGAGTGGAGATAAAGAATGGACAAGAGACACAAAGGATGGAGACAAGACGAAGCCAGATCAAGCCTTGTTTATTCATGGAAGGAGTAACAAATATATAGGGTATTAAGGAGAAGGGATTTGGGTTCTGAGACGTCAGCAGGTAACTTAGCAACAGTGGCAAGACCAAGGGTTATAGGTCAATTCAAGTTTCCCGCGCATGGGCTCATAAGGCGGGCTGATTAACATAATTCCTGAATAGGACAAACAAGCTAGGTAGGCAAGGTGCTGCTTAACTACCAAACTTAACTCCTAGAGGGAGTTACGGTGGTGCAGATGTTAAGGTGGCAGCCAATTTCAGGGTTTCCCACATTCATTGTTTCTATATGAATGTGAACATGGTCCCTGTCCTCTTTGTGGATGTGGTTCTGTTCTTCCTTTTATCTCTTCCATCTCTCTTCTCCTTCAGTCTTCTGCACCAGTTTGCCAAAGTTGCTGTGATCCCCTTTTGTCCTCCAACCTTACTTCTAATCTCTTCCTCTTCTTCTACTTCTCTATTTTCTCCTTAATCCATTTTAAATTTTAACCCCCGAGGGTAAAATTGACAGATTAAAGACTTATATATTGCATATAATTTTCCGATTTGTTTTACATTTTGTTATATAATCACAAACCAAGTTCATATGGTTAAAAGTGAAAAATTAAGAGTTAACTCAGTTTGTTGTGTTCTAGGTTATGTTTGATGCTATTGGTACCACTATAGCCAAAATGGACATAATTGTTCTAAACAGCTGTTGGATTTAATAATCCATGACTGAGACTGACTGAGGATCACAGAAAATACTGTGGCACAGTGCCAAAAACCAGGGATTAGGACAAACAAGCAACAAGTTCTCATCACCAACAAACCAAAGAGGTGACATCTTCCAACAGACTCAAAATCCAAAGACCAGCTACACCTGGAAGATACCTCATAGAAGTAGTCATCACCAAAGAGTTCTTATAAGCATCACCCAAGGAATTAAACTAAAAAAAGAGAGAAGATAAAATGAGAAGACAATCAAGCAAAATGCAGCTCCAGACATCCAGTTCACCAAAGGCAGGGGGCAGCGAGGTGGGACATTCCAAAAGCCTCCAGTCAAGCCTCTATGAAGTAGAAAATAAAGCAATTAAATGAGGCTCTGGAAAAAAACAAAATAAAAAAAATTATCTCTCAGGTAACTACAGAGATTACCAAAATATACACCATGCTTAGCAATGTTAGCGCAATACAAACAACAAAAAAAAGATGAACTCAAGAAAATTATGGAAGTTCTTCATAGGAAAGAAATCAATTCCATAAAGCAGATTCAAGCAGATGTCCAGGAGAATAAAAACGCTATTGAAAATATTCAAAGCAGATTAAGCCAAACTGAGGACAGGACCTCAGATATTGAAGGCAAGCTTGCAGTTCATGGTGAAAAAAAGAAAGATTTCTTAAAAATAGCAAAGGACCATGTGGAAGCAACCCAGCAGCTGCTAGATGAGACAAGGAGTAACTTAAGGTTAATTGGAGTCAATGAACAAGCAGAACATACCACTAATAACATTAAAAAATGTTCACAGACACTGTGACAGAAAACTTTCCTGGTAGAGAGAGAGAACCTGACATACATATAAATGAGGCATGTAGGACTCCAGTTAGCCGTGATTAAAAAAATATATAGCCAAGCATATCATACTCAAGATCCCAGATATCCAAGACAAGAATAGAATCTTAAAAGTTGTTAGAATAAAGAAACAAATCACATATAAAGGAAAGCCCATCAGAATCATAATTGACTTTGCAGCACAAAGCCTCAAGTCAAAGAGAGATTAGAGTGAAATACTACAAATTATAAAAGAAAATAATTTTTAACCCAGATTGATGTATCCCATAAAATCATCTTTCAAAATTGATGGAGAAATAAGATACTTCCAAGACAAAAAAAGTGTCTGAGGAAATTTGTAATCACCAAACCAGCACTGCAAAATATTCGAAAGACATCCTAGAAAAAGATAATAAGGACAATAGAAGGAAGGGCCAACAACAGGAAAATAATGACAGGGATAAGTCAATACATATCAGTTATAACCATCAATGTGAATGCCTTCCATTCATCAGTCAAAAGACACACACTGGCAGAATGGATCGAGAAGCAGGATCTAACAATATGCTGCATGAAAGAAACACATTTAATTCAAAAAGAAATTCATAGATTGAAAGCCAAAGAATGGAAAACAATACTCCATATGACAGGAACTCAAAAAAAAATCAGAGGTGGTTATTCTATTTGCAGATAAACTGAATTTCAAACCAAGACTGATTAAGAGAGATAAAGAAGGTCAGTGCATCCTCATAAAGTAAATAATCCAAGAGGAAGAGATAACAACCATAAATATATATGCAACAGATACCAGTGCACCCAACTATATAAAATGATTGCTAACAGATATGAAAAATCAAATAATCCCCAATACAATTGTATTGGAAGACCTCAGTACCACCCTATCATAAAAAAAGATCAACTAGACAAAAAATAATAATTAAATATTAAAACTAAATCAAATTTTTGAACAAATGGATATAGTGGATGATTATAGAGTGTTCCATACCACCACATCGAATACATGTTTTTCTCAGCTGCAAACAGGATGCTTCAAAAGTAGACCATATGCTGGCTCATAGAACATGCTTAAGTAAATGCAAAGGAATTGAAATTATCCCATGCAAGCTATCAGATCATAGTGCAATGAAATCAGAAATCTATGGCAAAAGAAATGACAGAAACTTCAAAAACACATGAATATTAAACAAATATTAAACGAACAACCAATGGGTCACAGATGAAATTAAAAAAGAAATTACACAGTTTTTATAATTCAATGATTATGACAATATAACAAACTATAACTTATGCAACACAATGAAAGCAGTCTCCAGAGGGAAATTTATACCAGTGCATGTCCATATCAGGAAAACAGAGCAAGCACATATAAACAACTTAATGTCGAACCTAAGACTTCTAGAAAAAAAGCAGGCTAAACCAAAAGCATTTATAAGGAAGGAAATTATAAAGATCAAGTAGAAATTAACACATTGGAGACAAAAAATTACAAAAAATCAATGAATCAAACAGTTGGTTCTTTGAAACATTAAATAAAATTGAAAAATCCTTAGCCAACTTTATCAAAAAAAGAAATAATATACTCAAAT